GAGAGAGAGAGAGAGAGAGAGAGAGAGAGAGAGAGAGAGAGAGAGAGATTTGCGACATTGGGATTTGGCGACAGTTGGATTCAGACTTGACATTGGGACAGAGACATTGTGGGGGACTATTTTTGGATCAGTATCGATGACATTTTGAGTTGTGATATTCTCCATATCTCCCCTCCCCACCTTCGTCTCTCCTCCCTCCTCATCCGTGTATGATCATGTGCCTGGTGCTTCGTCTCTTTGTTATGCGCCCAGCCTCTCACACTGTGTGATGATGATGATGGTGATGTTCAGTCTGCGTCACGACATTGATGGGTCTGATTGTTGGTATTTCAGTCTTCCGCTGTGCTATCATTGCTCCATTTTTGAGTGGTCGGTTCTTGGTCCTGTGGTCTGCGCCATTTGGCATGCGACAGCTGGGGAGGGAGGTGAGGACCTGCTTAGCCCTGATGCCTATAACCACTGTCCGGTCAGATTACTAGAAAAGGGTGATGATCCCAGGTGGTAAAAACACTTAAGGTAGGACCTTGGGAGTAGGGATGCACCAGGGACGGTAATGATGAGCAAGGGTGGGAGGGAGTCTCATAGGGGGCCTAGCCATGCCACCTGTTAAGACAGCGTTGGGAAAGGCTCAGCCTACCGGAGCAAAATTACTGGCGGGACCAAGAAGGCCATGTCCCGCGTCGGGTGGGCAAAAACCGCTTCCGGAAAAAGAGACTGGGAGGTATTTGGTTGTTTAAAACGCCAGTTCACACGAGCCTAAGTTGACGAAGCCACCTTCCAAGGCATCTGAACCTCCAACCGGGACTTGTCATGGTGGCCTTCCGCCTTTACAATCAGCGCAGGCCTGAATTGAAAACCTCTTACCGTGTACCGGTAAGAGATCAACTACGATAGGCTAGGGGAGCTGGGTGGTTTGTGTGATGTTGCTGGAGGAAGCAGAGGAGATGAAGCCATGCTGCAGTTCCCTGCAAGGTATAGATTGTCTTTGTCTGCGGGACTAATGCCCAGAAGACTACAGAGGAATGTTCACATGTATGAAGCATCGTCACTTTTTTTGCTTTCGTTCTTTCCAAGGCTCATTCATGTTCTACAGTTGATATGTGTGTGATTCATCTCTGGAGGGAGCAGTTTTTCTGTCTGTGAAAAATAACCCACTGTAACGTGGGGATGCGTTCTGAGTGGGTATCTCATGTATTCTTCTGACTTTCCGGTGGAATAGGAACTGGACTGTTGCCCCCCAGGATGGGTGTGGAGCTGGGCCCAAAAGGACCTTTTGAAGCCCTCTTCGGTGAAGTTTCATCCATTCTGCTGGTTCATGTTCTGTGGACTTTTGTTGTGAACAGGTTTCTGTAAACCTGAACTCTGATATTGTCATGGCTTCCTACCAGTCAGCTGAATCAGTGGCAGAGACAAGGTAAAACAACGTGCACATGTGACAAGAAGTCAAAACGGTGTAATCCATTGTTAATGTGCAGCTCTCGTGTCCGCAAAGAATCCCAATAAGATCTTTGTTTGCTGTGCTGCTGAACTCTGGAGCATTCTCAAGTTGTAAATCCCCAGGGGGAGCCAAAATACTGATCTCCTGTCAGAAGCTGTTCTGGACCTGGTCCAAATCTTCCAGACCAGGTTTTTTATGAACTGGTACGAAACTGGTTGAAACTTGAAACTCTTTTTCGCATTAGGGTCGGTTTCAAACTTCCGCCAGTGCACTTAAGCTAGCACACAATACCAGAGAATTTGCTACAACCAAGCCAGCACATTATACGAAACAATCCTTTTTGTCTTGCTTTGGTTGCTGCAAAGGGACGGTGGTGAGAGAGGCTTTTGGGGACGAGGGCGAGAGAGGATTTTGGGGACGGGGGCGAAAGAGGCATTTGGGGAGAGGGGCGAGAGGAGGCGAGAGAGGCTTTTGGGGATAGGGCCTGCGCATGAAGTATTGGTGACGTTACGGTGGGTTGGTGATTGTGGAAAAGGTGAATCACATTAGCGGAATTTCGTGTTCATGTGTTTGCATGGTAGTGACTGCTTTAGCGCGCAGGTGCCCATTACATTCAGATGCGTCAACATTACACTTGTTTGCTCAGGTGAGTGTGATGTTATGGAGTTATCAGCAGGGGAAGTCATCGACCTGTTGTTTGAAGAGGTTGCAAGCCACTGTGCTGCCATGGGGTCAGAGATCCACATGGCAGAAGGGATCGAGGGGGAAGATCTCAGTGTGAAATGGCCCGAGCTTGAGAGGAACGATCAGGGCTCTGCGGATAACCATGTCACTACGACAACCCCTAGCAGCGTCGCTGGCTGTGGCCAGGTGGAGACAAAGAAGACAGGTGTAGACGTGCCGTTGGCAGGTTTTCTTTGTCAGGATCACCTTCTGAAACTCTCATTCTTTTTCAATAAGAACTTGGATCGGGCATTGCAGATTCTGGACGCTGGAGGTGTAGAGTGGGTGAAAGGGGTGCCGAGTGGTCGTTCGGTTTTCAGGATCTGGGGAGTGAAAGCCAAGGGGGTTGTGCGCGATCATCTTTGCTTCCCATTGTCGTATTGTACTTGTGAGTCGTTCTTCTATGACGTTGTGGCACGCAGTGAGTCCCTCTGTTGCAAGCATCAGCTAGCCGCACGATTGGCACAGTCTCTACAAATGTATAAGGAGATACAAGTGTCAGATTTGCAACTCTGTAAGGTGTTGTGTGGAGGAGACTGAGTTCGTTATCAATGATCGACAGGTTGGTCATGATAACAGTTGCTTCCTCTTTGATCGATCAACCTCACCCCTTGTTCCCGTCACCATCGTCATTGTGGTCGCTGTCATTATCAGCATGTTTCTATGGTCAGTCCGGCATGATGGAAGTCACACTCAACCTGGTGAAGCTGCCGCCTTCACTATGGAGTGAAGTTACGAACTTACGACGGAAATTTCGACCAATCAGGGCCTGCAGTCCTTCAGCCGCAATGGAACTATTTCCGACTTTGGTTTGTCCAGGATGCAGATAAGCTCGTTCGCTGATCACAGAGCTAATGGAAAATCACCTACTCAATTCACAAGCATCTTTGAAGAAGTGATCTCTTGCTAGTGCCTGCAAAGTCAAAGCGCTCTGGATGATCCGGAATGCGGCGGCAATGAAGCTAAGACCAGTGAGCTATGGTGCAAAGTTCACTATTTTTCTGTGTGGTCTTCTCACATGGAAGCCGTCACAACCCGGTGGAGCTCCCTTCCTTTGTTCTGAGGGGATGTGCAAGGAAAATGCGCAAGAGTGAAATGACAGAATGTAAGAATTATGAATTGTAACATCACATTGAAGGCCAGAGAATCACGAGCTGTCCAGAAATCCGAAATGCACCGCTATCACGCCAGAGGAGACCAAAACACGCAAACTCAATAGTCAACGTCGGCCCTGAATTAGCCACCATCGACAGTGTCCAATGTCTTTTCTAAGTTTTCTCAGTACTTGGTGCTCAGCGGCCTTACATTTTCTTGACTTCCATACAGTTCTTTTTTTTTTAATAAAATAATAAAATATTAAAAATAAAGAAATATGAACTAGCCTACTTGGCTCGCCTTGGCATGCAGGACGGCTGTGCGACCCAGACAAGTTGCCTGGGGGTCACCTGCACGGGGCACCCTGTGTAGGCAAAAATCAGCCCCTTTTCTTTTTCTTTTTTTTTTAGGTGGAGGTTTTCTGAGCGTGGCCAGAGGAGCCAAACTTAAGGCTGCTTTCTTTTTTGAGTGTTGGCTGTCAAGGGAGTGGAAGGTGGGTATAAATTGGTTTTTAAGCTAGGCTACTTGGCTTGCTGGGCCACACAGCACGAATTGTGTGACCCGAGGTCGGGCAAAAATCAGTCTTTTTTTGGGGGGGAGGGTTCCGGGCTTTTTTCTTTTTTCCAGCATTGGATGTCAAGGGGGGGGGAAGTGGGGTATAAATTGGGTTTTAATGGGATAAAGGGGTTTAGTAGTTGCCCCATACATCGGCCACGGACACCTCACCGGAACTTTCAGCCGCCGTAAACGAGACGATGGCCATCGATGAGATTTATCAACGGCCTAATGGGGCCCGAAAGTCACAGCGCATATGCTACAAGGGCCTGTGGCTGATGTATGGGCCATGTACTGGTGGTCTAAAGGGGGGTGCCTGAGTCTGATTCTGCTTTTCTCTTTTTGTCTCGGATTCCGGGAAGAATTCTGATGTGACCCGCAGCAACAGTCGTTTGTATTGCAATTCTCCAGAACATTTTTTTTTCTGTAATTTTTTTATTTCCCCCCCCGCCTCTTTTTCGACGCTGTGGCTGCCTGGGTCCAATGCCTGCCCGGGCACCCGGGTGTGTATCCAGGCTCAAGTTGGGTGGGGGCTCCGGCGCCGGGACAAACAACCAAGAATATCAATAGAATGATAATCTTCCACAAAGGAGTGGATATGGGGAACCCTGGCTCATCTTCCAGCCGGAACTCGGCATCGAAGAGCTAGAATTCGACCCAAAGGAGTGGATATGGGGGCGATAACGGATTATGATGTAAAGCTGTGTTACAACCTCGGGCTAAAAACCACAGACCCGAACTCAAGGCGGGGGGAGAAGTGGAGAACCATCCTCCACCTAGAACCCGCGACCATCATCACCATCCCATGGACTAAATACCATCTTATCCGACCGACCCGGATCCGCAGCATGCAATGGCTGTTAGCACATGCAGGTATTGAGAACAGAGTCGACCAAAAGCTCCTGGACCTTTTTCCAAATGCATGTTGCTTCTGGACAGAATAGGAGGCAGTGGGGCATGTCCTCGGGTGAGTTGTTCTTGCCAATTGAGCAGCATTCCGTGTCAGGATCGGACTGCTTGCTTCTTACGTGTAGCCATTGGTTGACTGGAAGCTCTACCCTACTCCTATCTAACATTCCCAGCAACATCAAGGGCAGTAGGGAGGTCTGGTTCCTCCTGCTCAGGAAACTGGCACTGTGGGTAATATGGAAACGCAGCTGCTCTAGGACAATCGAGGGAGCAGAGGTGGCAAAGGAAGAAATGTGGTCGATGCTACTGAGCATGGCAGAGATGGAAATCAGGAGCGCATGGCGGAGAATAGCAACCTCCACGCAGCGCAGGCCAGAAAGACAAGCTCCCATGAAATAGACACTAGATTGGCTGCTAAAGGGCAAGGTGGCTACGATAGTGGATAACAGATTGAGATGGAAGAAATGGTACAAGGCCCAACCACAATGACTATACGGCTCTACCGGGCTATCTGGCAGAAGAGCCGGACAGGCACTCAACAACAGCACTGAAAGGATACGCAGAGATGGTCAAGGCCAAGCAAAACAGCTTGTAACGGACCCTCCCACTTTTCTCGTTGTGCAAGGAATTATCCGACAGGCACTGAATATAGAAGCCAGTCTGAGAGGAAAAGTGGTCAGGGCAAGCTGACAGTCAATCCTCCTTAGTAGGAGTAATCAATGCTGGTCAGGGTTCCTTCGGCCAGACGGGAGGAAGCGTGTGTGTGTACTACGATGTATTCATTTTGACTTGCCGGGGGAATAGGAACCGGACTAACGCTCCCCAGAAAGGATATGGAGCCAGGACCATAAGGACCTGTCTTTTGTTGCCTTTTTGAAGTTGGCGCGTGAGTGACCCTCTGTTACGTGATTTTTTTTTTTCCCGCTTAATTGGATCTCATGTTTGTTTGCCGCATAGTTGGCTCGAAAACAGCTCAGAATCACCCCGGCGAATGAGGGACAATCTTCCTTTACGTAACTGCCGAAGCAGTGAGGACTGATGTTCAGTGAGGACTGATTTTCTCAACTCGCCTGTTGTTGCAGCAGATGTGTTAGTGGTTGTTGCTGCAGATGTGTTACTGTGCTAGTGGGAGTCATGTGCATGATATTTATACAAATTTTATAGTCTAATGTGCCTGTTCTTTGCCTTTGTTCCTTTCATTGGCTGTGGTGGAACAGACTGGGTCTGTGGCAACTTAGGAATCTATGGAGAGCTGCAGAGCCATCTTCGAACCCCTCACCGTCCGATCGAGACAGCTTGGACGGAGAAGAAATTGGTCGTAGCAGCTGTTTTGGGCCCTAGTCGTACTCTCGTCTATGGGTCGTCCGCTCCAGTGCAATTTTTTGAGCTCGTAACTTTGTATCGTTTATAGATCACGATCAGCAAAGGCTGTGCAGAGTAGACTTGAGGTTCACCTTGGAAGTGTGGGCCTGACGCAATGGCTCGATCTGCGGCCGAAGAACTTGAAGAGCTTGGGTACAGGTATGGTGACGATATGCGGCTACGTGAAGTCGTGTCTGGCAAGCCTTTTCGATGCACCGACCAAGAAATGTTTAACAGGGTGGGTTTTCTTGCAGCAAACTACATACAGGAGCTAATGGTGAAAAGCTATGACATGATCTGCATAAAACTGCCGCTGGCGGAGTCGTCAGAGCCTGGTCAAAAGCATGTGGACATAGCGTCAGCAGCTGTCGATTCGGGCTGGGTGGAGGAGTGTGAGGAGGAAACAAAATGCCCCATTTTTGTGTCGACAAACTCGAAGACGGCAGATATCCTGCTCGTGGTTCTGTGCAGCGGTGGGAAAGTGCAAGCAGGCCAGTGGTCGCGGAAGTTATGCATGTTGGACAGCTTGAACAAAGGTACTGTGCTTCCATACCTTGATTGGGCCTACACTCTGGGGATGGGAGTTGTCGTATTGAATCCCAATGTGAACTATGTCAGGCACGAAAAAGGCATGTATGAAAAGATACCAAACAACTCGACTCCGGAGGAGCACGTGTTGTGCGTATGGGACCAGGTGATCCAGAACCTGGGTGCGAGACACATTGTGATCCTCGCGCATTCCTTCGGTGGTGTTCTTCTCGGTGGCCTTCTGCGCAACAGGTGCAAGGAGGTCTTGCAGCGCGTCCGGTGTGTCGCACTCGCTGATTCTGTGCATGGGTTTTGGAAGCCGCAGGATTTGCCAGAGAAGGCAAGGTTCTTCTTTGTGGAACACTGTGCCAATTGGGTGGCGAGTAAAAAACCTCTGGGGACGATATTGGCAGAACCAGCCATTTTGCCGGAAGATGTGGGCAAGAAACTGCCCCTTTTCCATGTCAAAGAGTTCTTCCGGCACGCAAAGCCATCAGTAAAATCCAGCAAATTCTTGTTAGGGTATCCACGACACCACCTTACGTGTGGGATGTGGCATGGGGGGAAGCACAGCTCACATGGGTGCTTCATGATTCCGCACAGTAATAAGGTTCACAATAAGAGGGGTATCGACATGGAAGGTGGACACTCCAAGATCGTGCGTGCTTTTCAACGATTGAAAGTGGGTTTCAGAAAAGCTGACGCCTTTGGGAATGCGGAGAAAGAAGGCCACCGTAATCTTGATGACGACTGGGACAATTGTGTCCCATTTGATAGTAATGGAACAGACAGGAGGAAGCAGCAGCAGGTAGTCCCACATGTCAACCTCCGCAACCATGTGCTAGAAACTGAGTCCTGCTGCGACTGTGTCTGCCTCTCAGCTGGTTCCACCGTGCACGAGGAAACCGCAATGAGTGCGTTTGAGCATGTATGCAGCTTCATATGTGAAAAGCTAGAGTCAGCCGGAGTCAAACTGTACTACTACAGGACAACGTGATGAATATTGATGCCCACTCTTGGTGAATCGACGAGCTGCAGTCCCTCAACCTCGCACTCTCCTTCTCCTCCCTCTCCTCCCTCTCCTCCTCCTCCTCCTCCTCATTGCTGTGCAGTTATTAGTTTGATTCTTTCCCCATCTGTGGGATGAACCTTCCCTCCTTTTAATCATATTCAGGTCCAGGTTCACAACCTGGTGCTACAAGCAGACTCGCTCTGGGGCCATTGTGAAACAAAATGTGCTCCTATCAGCTGGGAACACTGTGCATAAGGAACCAGCGGTAAGTACCATTTCAACATGCATGCAGCTTCGTCGGTGAAAAGTGAGAGTCAGCGGGAGCGAAACTGTACTATTACAGGACAACATGGTGTACATTTGGCCACGCCTGATGAACTGGCCATAAGTAACACAGTGTGGTAGACTACTACTCCTCCTCCCTCCTACTTTGCCATGCATTCATCGGCGCTACTCTTTCGCCGTCTATGGCACAAACAACTCCTACTTTTGTTAAATATTCCTTGTGGTTAACTCAGTCACGACATGGGACAAAGGTCTCTGGAAAGTCGCAAACCACCGAGCTACCGTCTCCACCCGAATAGAATGCCCGGTCTTTATCACTGCATCTGGACTGGAAACTGTGCCAAGTATGGGTATAATGACCGGGCGTTATATTCGGGTGGAGACGGTAGTCTCTGCAAAGTTGCAAAGCAGCAAGTGGTTGTTCAAGTATCGAATGGGGGGGCCTACAAGTGTGCGTTTTGCAAGAATGAGCACACCGAATGGATTGATTACTCAGAAGCAACAGAGGGAGATTAACAAGTAGAGGAATCACTGGGAAGGAATGCCAGTGTCACCGCATTTTTCCAGGCGTCCACAGGTACCTGAGTGCAGTAAATGTGGCACGGGTGGTTGGGCAATTCGCCTCTAGTACTCAGGCATCTGTGATGGAAACACTCTGAACAGCATGATCGGACGAGTCGAATTCTGTAAGACAGATGGATGAATTCGCAGATCGATGGGTACAATCATACAATGTTTCTCTTCAGATCGGTCTAAACGACTCTCCGAGAAAAACAGCTGTTGCTGCTGATCAGCACCGAACTGGAGTAATCCATCTGAGCCTGGGATTGGGAATGGCACTGGAACTGGGAACGGAGATGGGAATGGATGCTATTCTGGATTCGTACCATTCACAATCAGCGGCCTATGGGAACAGGAATGGGAGTTGAATCAGGAATGATAATGGCACTGGAAATGGAACCGGCAATGGGATTGGGACTGTCATGGCAAGTGGTATCTCTGGTGTGAATAGGACTGGACAAGGGGCTGGGATTGGGACTGGGCAGGGTGCTGGTATGTGGACTGGATATGGTGCTGGAACTGGGACAGCACACGGTGCTGGGATTGGGAGTCGATATACCTCTGGTGTGGGGACTGGGACATTGCCTTCATGAGAAACTACTTGTACTTGTCAGCTTGTAGCAACAGAGTGTTGATCACTGGTACCGGGACCTGAACTGGAAATGGAACTGGCTCTTGTGGGCTGTAACTGGGGCCGAATTGGGAATGGAGCGGGAATGAGAATTTGACAAACATTGTCGATCACTGGTACTGGGACCTGAACTGGAAATGGAACTGGCTCTGGGACTGAGTCCCACAATGGTGCTGTAACTGGGGCTGAAACTGGGAATGGAGGGGGAATGAGATTCGGCAGGCATTGGGACAAGGACTGGGGGTTGAATTATGCCACACCCAGTCTGATTGCGGGGGCCGATGAACCTGGTTCAGCCTTCCTTGACGAGCAACTTTGCAGTCATGGTTAAGTCGCCTTCCACAGCGTACAGTGGTTTCTTCACATCATTCAGCTCTGATGGGTGCAACCAACACCGCAAAGGACACGGAGACTTGGTGGCCACGTCATCTCTTTATGTTAATTGTACTATCGCTTGAAGTGTTCATCTGGTGGGGTCGGATGAATTTCGTTTGGTCTTCGTTGACGAGTAACTTTGCAGTCATGGTAGTATGATGGTACGTTGCCTTCCACAGCTTACAGTGATTTATTCACATCATGCAGTGGAGCTCTAGTGTGTGCAGCGCACACTGCAAAAGACACAGGGACCAAAAGCCAAGGCAGATGATCTCTTTATGTATCCGTAACATCTCTTGAAGCGTTCTGCTATGGAAGGATGTCCCAATAAGTGGCAAGCTACATCACGTCCTTATGTTCGTCTCTTCGAGTGGTCGGCTATGGAAGGATGTCCCGAGATTTGGGATTTGCATGGTTGCCGTTCTTCATGAAATGTTGGCAATCAACCACTCCAGGAGATCCAAGAATAATTTTTTTTTCAGAGACCATTCCTTTTTTGAGGGATCTTTGTCTGCTTCTCCTCCCCCCCCGATGCTCAGGCTGGGTATTCAGTGCATGTGCTTTCCTCCTTGTCAGGGCATGGATCAGATATATTTTAACAACTCCGTGCATGCGTCTCCGACGTGCATGGGTCTTCCGGCGTGCATGGGTCTTCCGACTCTTTCGTAGACACCCTTCCTTGGGGTCGACAAAAAATCAAGCGTAAGTGCTTCTTGCAAGTGAATTGTCATGCAGCACAACACAATCAGCCGAAGAGATTGTGGAAGATCTGTCATGAGCTAATCTTGAGACAGGCAGAGGTTGGGCGCACAGGATTGGGGGGAAACGCTCTTACCGGTATGCTGCCAGCCTACCTTGGATGCCAGTGCTCTGGCTTAGAAGAGTAGATTGGCAGTTTTGTTCCATGCTGCCAGATTCCCCTGGGAGGCAGAATAGCAGGCCGAAGGCAGCAGTCTGCGAAGTGTGACTTGCAAGGCTGGCATGGAAGCTAGACCTGCAGAATCAGTGCAGATAATACCAGAGATCCAGACTGACAAGCACTCTGACAGGTAGGCAGGTGGGCCACTCAGCAGACAGGCAGGGAAAGCAGCTGATGATGAACAAGTTGTCCAACGACTCCAACACGCTTGCAGGCTGGCGACACCAGTGGTGATTGCAGTTCAGCAGGAGTGATGCCATTCCATTTCTGCCGACGAAGCGATGAAGGTTCGGAGCAGGTTCGCAGCAGTTTCGTAGTCGAGCAGACAACTTATGGCTGTGCTGGAAGGTAGCAGATTACTGAGATCGGTTACGGTTCTGCTACGCATGCCTTGGCTGGCGTGCAGCAAAGAGGTTTCACCATCAAGGTCATCTAAGCAGAAGCATGTCACACTCGCAGCGGAGAGGTGAGAGGTGTTAACGATGCTTGCGGCTTTGTTCTCGTATCCCGTTGAATAACGTCATTCTGTCAGCCCATTAATGAATTTGGTAATGAAAGGTAGTTTTCACCAATAAGCTTGTGGGAGAGCTCTGTCCAGCCTCAAGCACCTTTTTGGATATTCCACATTGGTGTGCTATTCTCTTAGTTAGTGGCGTGTGCCACAGTTTCTTGTATGGGAGGAGAGATGGTGGTGGGTTTTGATGATGGAGATGATGCTCCGGTGGGGTGACAGCATTTTGCGATGGGCGATGAATTCGGCCATGATAGGAGTGGATTGGTGAGCTATCCTCTTGCAAGTGGCGTGTACGACAGTTTCTTGTATGGGAGGAAAGATGGTGGTGGGTTTTGCTGATGGAGATGATGAGCTCGTGGGTGTGACAGTATTTTGCGACGGGCGATGAATTTGGCCATGACAGGAGATGCAGACGTGGTGGTAGTGGGCATTGATTTGGCCATGATGGCAGTGGCAGCTGTGGTGGTAGTCGATATTGTGCCAGCCAATGCTTCTGTCATGATGGCATTGATGACATTGATGAAGTGGTGAGTCTGGTCAATATTGTGCATACTGTGGCAAGTCCATCTGTGGTAGCAGTGAAGGTTACGGTGACAATATCATATTAGTATACCACGGCGTATGTTGGTAGAGTTGATGAATGGGGTTTAAGGTATGGTGGTGGTGGCAGCTGCAGTGCCGCCGGTGATATCGGTGCAGTTCCAACAGGAGTGGGTGATAATATCCTGTATGTGCAGAGTACGTGTTGTATGGAGTGGGGGTGAGACGTGTCTGAAGACTCGGAACCTTTCAGGGCAATAAGAGAGCAACAGAGGAAGTGTGAATAGGCCGAGGGATTGTGGGTGTGCGCGCGTGTAAGAGAGAGAGAGAGAGAGAGAGAGAGAGAGA